ATGAAATCCAAGCCACTATGAATTACTAAAATAGTTTTAAATTCAGTTTTACAAAACAAGCAGCTTGATGGAAACAGAGTTCCCAGGCCTACTTTAAGAAGTGCCCGCATATACTATCCCTGGTGCATGAGCTGGCTTTTTGGAGCCCATTTCCTATGGTGGGACACCGTGCACAGCCTTGATGCAGGGGGAGGGGCTTGGACTTGCCTCAACTGAATGTACTAGGCTTTGTTGACTCCCCTTGGGAGGCCTTACCTTTTCAGAGGAGGGAATGGGGGAGTGGGTTGGGGGAAAGGTTGAGGGGGGAGGAGGGAAGAGAGGGGAATCTGTGGTTGGTATATAAAATTAATACAAATTTTCTTAATAAAGAAAAAAATGTAATGGATTTCAGTTGTACTGTAACCCAATTCTTGTTGTCTCTACAATAGTTTGCTTGCCCAATTTCATTCCGCTGGCTCCAAAATTATATTCAATATTTGGTCAACAATACTAGTGGAGGCAACAATAACAATCTACATTACTTCCTTTCATTTTATATCCTATGATTTTGTCGCTATTGTTTTCATGATTTTTGCTATAACATAATAAGCTAATGCATGCCTTTGTCCTGGTTTTGGATGGAATTATATGCCAACATCTAGGCAATACCCTTTTCTAATTTAAAATAACTACAAGGTTGCACATTACACTAGTAGATTTGTAATCAACTTAAAGATAATGTGTTAAAAGCACAATTAAACGTGTCATAACAGAAGAAGGCCCTGGTAATTACAAACAGTGCCATGCTTGCTGCTTGCTGGCTTTTTAAACAGTAGCACAAGACTGTGAAAAATCGCCACCCAGTGATGTAAATGAAAACTGCAATTTGTTTTTGTGTAAAATGAGTACCCCGGAGGATTACTTCAACTTCATTACTGAATGAACTCTTGCCTTCTTCTGTGAATACCAACTGGTTACACAAGGGGAAGGATGTTTTTCTACCACCCCACCCTCCCTTTACTCTTAGTCTGCATGCGCCTCAATCTACAAAGGCCAAAAGCTTTAGAAATCCTCGTGAGGAAAAAAGGCTTTCCACAAACATGAGCCAGCTGATTGTACATGAATACTCTAGATATTCCTATTATCAACAAGAGTGCCTTGGGTCTGCATGGACCCCAAAGTTCAAGTCAACATTAAGCAGGAATGCTGGCCACAGGAAAAGGATTCTCTGGTGGAAAAAAGAGAAGAGGTGTCATTCTTCACCTTAACAGTGTAATTTACTGTGACCTTCTTAGAAACAGGTTATAACGGTTAGTAAAGAGAGAATCTAGCCAATTGTCAACAGCTCATATCGTCAGGAAATTGTTTCCAAGTCATATACATATATCATTTAGAAGTCAGAGGATAAGAAAACAAAACCAATCTTTATTTTCTGTGATGTACCTAATTTACACAATAATTTTAAAATCTTATGTGGATAAATACTGAATTGTTTGGTTTCTGTTTGTTTGTTTTGTTTTTTCCCCTGAGACATGGTTTCTCTGTGTAGCCCTGGCTGCCCTGGAACTTGCTTTAAAGACCAGGCTGGCCCAGCATGTAAAGACTGCAGGTAAAGCCACGGAACATGTGGCGATAAATAGATTAACAGAAATGGGCTGAGTTTAAGTGTAAGAGCTAGACAGTGGTAGGCCTGAGCTAATGGCCTGGCAGTTTAATTAATATGAGCTTCTGAGCGATTATTTTATAAGGGGTTGTGGGGTCTGTGGGGCTGGGCAGGACTGGAGAAAACTCCAGCTACAGAGATCCACCTGCCTCTGCCTTCTGAGTGCTGAGATTAAAGGTATGTGCCATTACAGCTGGCAAAACTAGATGGCTTTAATGAAAATGTACCCCCCATCATGCATTTGAACCCCTGATCTCCAATAGGTGGTACCGTTTGGAGAAGTTATGGACGTTTAGGACCTGGAGCCTTGCTGGAGGAAGCAGTGGGGTTTTGAGTTTACAGCCTCAGCTGACTTCCAGTTCTCTCTCCTAGCTTCCTGCGTAGGACTGAACAGTTGAGATGTGATCCCTCTGCTTCTCGAGCTAGCCTCGGGCTACTGTGCCTTCCCTGCTGCTATGGACTCTAGTCCTCTGCAACCACAAGCTGAAATAAACTCTTTTCTCCCGTAAGTTGCTTTTGGCTGTGGTGTTTGTTCACAGCAACAGAAGAGTCACTAGTACATATTCCAGGATACATGAATATGGCACCATGGTAGCAATAAGATCACAAAAATATCTCATGTGAGCCGGGCGGTGGTGGCACACGCCTTTAATCCCAGCACTTGGGAGGCAGAGCCAGGCGGATCTCTGTGAGTTCGAGGCCAGCCTGGTCTCCAAAGCGAGTTCCAGGAAAGGCGCAAAGCTACACAGAAAAACCCTGTCTCGAAAAACCAAAAGAAAAAAAAAATATCTCATGTGTACCACTTAACTTACCTTTTCAAATATCTTCAGATGGTATGCTCTGAGACTACAGTAGATATTACATAAAGACACTGCTAGAGAATGACATGGCAAAAGAGGGAAAATTCCCAGAATAAATAAATTTTAAAGTTTGTCATTATATTTTTGAAAGACAATACAACGTTCCTAGTAACTGTCAGGCTTGCCATCAGAAATGTCAGTTTGTCCTTGAATGCTGACAGGTGTTTATATTAATGAAACATTAATACCACGAGCCTTCAACTTTGATGACAGTTTTATACAACAGTTTTAAAATATTTTGCTTATTTAAAATATTAGATAGTAAAAGTGTGAGGTAGCCAAACTTAATGAAAAGTAAAACAACACTAAATGCTCCTTTATTTTTTTATTTTTTTTATTTTTTGGTTTTTTGAGACAGGGTTTCTCTGTGTAACTTTGCGCCTTTCCTGGAACTCACTTGGTAGCCCAGGCTGGCCTCGAACTCACAGAGATCCGCCTGGCTCTGCCTCCCTAGTGCTGGGATTAAAGGCGTGCGCCACCATTGCCTGGCGTTCCTTTATTATAAAAGCACTTTCATGTGGTAAGTATGCAATTAAAGGTTTCTGTGTTGTTTTGTTTTTTTAAGTTTAAAAGATCACTAATGACTTAGATTAAAACTGAGGACATGGTAGAAACACTGACCTCTCTCCTCCACCTCTTTGATATGTGCAGAACAGTATCATTATCTACAGGAACTGTATTGTTAACAGTGTATCACAACATTACCTGCCTCTTGTTTTATAATACCTAAGCAAATTGAATTCAAAAATTCCAAATGCTGACAGTCCAGCATTTTAAAACTGCAATAGTACCGGGATTAAAAGACAGACTCTGGGAACAGATTACCCATACTAATTCCAATGTTCTTTATGCAAGGAGAAGAACCTGCACAATTAAGCCCTCTGTGTACAGTGTAAGTAACTCACTTACAGGTTATTCTAAGCATTTTGTGCACACTAATTTGTTTGATTCTACACTAGTCCCATAGGGTAGGGACTGATAACACGCTCAGTGACCACCAAGACTGTTGACTAGCTTCCTGAAGCTAGAAACCCTAGTAAGTTGCGAAGCTGTGATGTCAAGCCTGTCAAGTCAGCATTCGTGTTTGTTACCTGTAAAGCTGTGCAGTGCTCCTGAGGGAGAAGTGAGATGATGTGAAAAGAGGAAAGGGAAAGGAGACAGGAAATGGGAGCTCGGAGATACCGGCTCATAGCACGAAGTTTCAGGAGAGCTAACTAAGCCCACAGAACATCAGCTCTACAAAGTGGTTTTCTTTTCTTTTTCCGAGGAAATCAGTGAATCTGGAAGCTTTGCATCTGAAACCAAACAGGGCTGACCAGACACAGGTCTCAGCTGACAGTTCCTGAGAGACAAGGAGGCCTCGGCTGATAATGGGAACTCTGGTCTTGCTGGGGCATTTGAACAAGGTGTAATACCAACTACACTGGATATTTTATTGGTTTCCTAGGATTGCGATGGAAGTGATTCCTCTTCGTAAGTCTCAGAGACATACAGTTCTGGGAATATCAATCATGCTCAGTCCAAGATGGTCCTGGGAAAACTTGCTCAAAACACAGCCTGTCAGCCTTTGAGAAAATGTACCATTAGAGTTGGATACAGCAGACAGAACAGCTGGTACTGAGCGTATTAGAGTCATTAAGTCTTAGAAATTCCCTCATGAAATAACAAATCTGGAAGCCTGTGAGACTTCCAAGTCTCAATCAAAGATGCTTCTAACTCCAGTCTTCCTGGGAATAGGGAAGGCAGCCCACAGCAGATGAACTGTACCTGCTGAGGCTGGAGAACTGTAGACACCTGATAACCAGTGAAACCTTTGTTCAAGGTCACACACAGTACAAAAGCAGAGCCACTTCCCATGGACAGACCTTGTCTCTGATGTTCCATGCTGGCAAACTGAAGAGGTAGAAGGTAAAAAGATACATAAAATACTCTGGAAACTGTATGTGACCTCGCACACACAAGTGTGCCATTGTCCTGTTCTTAAGTGAGTACACGGTGACAGAGAATAATACCATTTCTAATTGTATATAAACAAAAACTGAGCGAAGTTCTCTATGTCTTAACTTTATGGAGATTTTAAAAAATAGGAAAAAAAAAGAAATAGAAAACCATGAATAAAAAAACCAGACTTAGCTGGAATAAATTCCTGAGAGAAGCCTATATTGTCAAACTCCAGAAGACAATGGTTTCCAGGAGGCCCGGGGATTTTCTGAAGTTTTGCTGATGGCAAATTCAGGAGGAGAGAAGAAAAGCAATGAACCCCCGCGGCCTCCCAGAGACTACCACTGAGGCTGGCAGAGCCTTCTGCCTGGCAAGACACAAACTCCCGACTGTAAAGGGAAGGGTCGGAGAAGCAGGCTTAGCCATAGTGCTTTCTAAAGTACACACTTAACTCATTCTGAAATTAGAAAACATAGTTTAGAAACCGATCATATAATTATCAAATTAATTTTAAAATAATTCATTTAATTAGTATTTTGTTTCTTAAAAAGACTCACCTAAGAGGACAAATCCATCTGCTTCCGGCTCAGGTACAGAGGGCTTTTTGGACTCTAGGGGCTTTCGGAAGAAGTGGAACATAGTCGTCTCTGCCGCTGCTCTCTGAAACAGACATTCTGTATGAGGTCAACGCAGATGGGGCCAGAACTCCTGCTCTTCTTGGGAAAGAGCCTGACGTAAAGGTAGCACAATAACAACTCTGAGGTCGCCTACTGCTGAATTTAAAAGCATCAAACTTTCTCTAGCTACTAGAAGATGAAGGTACAAATCAAGATACGTCTGTTTAGAGTCTAAAATCTGTGCCTTCAGAGTTCACAGTGCAACCACTATCAGTTTCTGAAGATTCAGAAAAACATTCTGGGAAATGCTCCTTGAAAGACTAAAATCAACAGATAACACCTGAATCTAAAGAATTTCACAAACCACAGAATAAACATTAGTGTGAGGGGAGAGAAAAAAAAGACTTGTCTGGGCTTCTTCACTGGACAATACTCCTTCACTAGGCCTTACTCAGCTGAAGCCTCGTAAAGCCCAAGCCACTTAAAAAGAAAAGGAAAGAAGGCACTGTAGACATCCTTTACCTCTCGGTTACCTGCTTTAGGCACTGTGCTGTACCATCATAAAAAAGGGAAGAAAAAAAAAACACTGCCCACCCCAAACCCCCACCCAGACAGATCTTTGTATCAGGCTTTCTTTTGGACTACCCGCTAGCTCCCAAATCATGACTTATTATTAGTTATGAATGCTTGGCCTTAGCTCAGGCTCGTTTCATGCTAGCTCTTACAACTTAACCTGTATCTCTTCATCTATGTTTTGCCTCAGGGCTTCTGACCTTTCTTTGCTTCTGTGTATCTTACTTTCACTGCTTCTTGTGTCTGGCTGGAGGCTGCCTGGCTTCTGGCCCCACCCAGGTGTGTCCCTCCCTTTTCCCCTTGTTCTCTCCTTCTTCTCTCTTGTTCTTCCTAGATTCCACCTCCTATTTATTCTCTCTGCTTACCAGTCCTGCCTATCCCTCTCCTGTCTGGCTATTGGCTGTTCAGCTTTTTATTAGACCAATCAGGTGCCTTAGGCAGGCAAGGTGAAACAGCAACACATCTTTACATAATTAAACAAGTTCAGCACAAACAAAAGTGATACATCTTTACATTGTTAACAAAGGCAGCAGAAACCTTCACATAGTTAAAGTAAAATTCTGCAGCATAAACAAATGTAACACATCTTTGCTCAGTTAAAATACTATTCCACAACAGATCTTGGCATTGGTGAACTGTCCCTGACACACACCCCACCTACCACTACCATCTTGACACATTCCTGTAAAATGAAAACTTTTAAGAAAACAACTGAGATAAAAGCTAAAGTGTGCTAGCAAGCTCACATTATATGCTGCCTACAGTCCCTCCAAGCAAAAGAATTAAGATAAGGCAGAGTCTTAATGTAGAAAACACTCCTAATTTTAGTTTTCATAAATTCCAGCCCTAACATTTAACCCTAGGAAAAGGCTTGTGGTGCTGGAAAGGGTCCTAAGAATTGTGCAGGTTATCATGACCATGGAGGTCCAGGAAGGACACTGAGCCCAATATAAACGAATGGCAGAAGGGAACTACTATACCTACCTGTTAACAGAAGACAGCTGCCAGACTTCATTTTGTGTGTTTGTGGGAGGTTGTCTTGGGTTTTGCTGTTATTTTAAAACCAAGGTCTCTCTGTTCAGCCCTGATTGGCACAGAACCTACTTTGTAGACCAGACTGGTTTTAAACTCAAAACTGAGGGCCTCTGCCAGCCCCCAATCCCCAGTGCTCAGTGCTGGAATTTAAAGAGTGCCCCACTACCCCAGTAGATTTCTCTTTTAAAGGGAATAAAAAATGGAAAGGACAAAACATCGGCCATGAGAAAAGGATAGTATTTCAAAACATGATGACCTCCCCCATCCTCAAAGATAGAGCTTTACTGTATACCCTGATAGAGCCAAAAGAAGACTGCACACAGGTTGGCGCCCCTTCAGAGAACACCAGGAGACATGGCCTCCAAGGAAGTAGTGAAAAACTCAAAGAGATGAAAAATCAAAAAGAAAAGATGAAAAGATGGAAACTGTGGCAGATGCCTAGAATTCCAGCACCCAATAGGGTGGAGACAGGTTCTTGGTATGATATGGAGGTTAACCTCACTCATCTGTAGCAGGAATCTTAGAGGGTCTTTATTAATAAAAACAAACCTGATGCCAGGTATTGGGGTGAACACCGGAAGATCATAGCAGAACAAGCAACAGCCACCTCACCTTGCCAATTCCTCAGCTGATCCTATTTCCTCAGACTGGAAGCTTCTGAGTCCTCGTCCACTCGGATCTCAGCTAAACTGCTGCTAGAAGCCTAAAAACTTAACTGACTAGTTCCTGGTTTTCATGCCTTTTATACCTTTCTGCTTCCTGCCATCACTTCCTGGGATCAAAGGCTCTTGTTACCACGCCTGGCTGTTTCCAGTGTGGCCTTGAACTCACAGAGATCCAGATGGATCTCTGCCTTTGGAATGCTAGGATTAAAGGTGTGTGCTACCACTGCCTAACCTCTATGTTTAATATTATGGCTGTTCTGTTCTCTGACCCCGGATAAGTGTATTAGGGTGCACAATATTTTGGAGAACACAATATCACCACACATGTCTTCCTTCCTTAGCATCTAGAATAGATAGGACTATAGACACCCACCACCATGCACAACCAAATCTCACTGGTATCTGCTTTTTAATCAATAGAATACCAAAGCCAGGTATGGTGGTTCATGTCTGTAATTCCAGTCCTTGGCTATCAGAGGAGGAAGGAGCACAGTAAGGTAATGCCTGGCCAGTTGATATAGCAAGTTCTGGGCCAGCAAGTGCTACATAGTGGAACCCTATCTCAAAAACATGGAACTGAAGAGACTGCTCAGTGCATCAGGCACTTGCTGTGAAAGCCTGACAGGCTGAATTCGGGCCCCTGGACCCCATGGACAAAGTAGGATGAGCAGCTTCCTGCTGTAACTCAGTGCTCCGATAGCAAGATGGGAGGCAGAGACAAGGTAACAGCCCGAGCTCAAAGTTCCTAGACTGGCTCACATGGAGTTAGCATCCTGCGGTGTGTAAGGTGACAACTTACAAAAGTTGTCCCCTGACCTCCACTCATGCAATGTTATAATGTGCTCCAGCATGAATACACACACACACACACACACACACATACACACACACACACACACACACACAAACACAAGGCAGTCTAAAAATTCCTGACATTTGTGTGGGCCTTCAACACTACATTCCTCTTTTGATTACATTCGACTAATTCCAATTTCTGTCTTTGTAATTCTATTTCTGCCTTTATCAGTCCCTACTTTTCCAAGCCTTGCTCCTCTCTGTTTGGAAGACATCTCCAAACTCCACAACATCTGTGTTCAAGACTGACTGACTGTGTTTCTGTCTTGCCAGCACTGGTTAGGTGCTCAGGACGGAGACCGGGACAGCACGGCTGCTGCAGCACTGGACTCGTATCTGAGGGACAAACTGTCACTGCCTACAATTCCTCGGAAACAATCGCTCGCACTCATCATAGAGCAGCACCGAAAGAGAGGGGCCTGTAAACAGCACGGAGGCCTCGGTGCAGCATCTGACGTACATGCGTGATGACGTCTACAGTGATGATGTCTACATGAGTTCCTGAACAGGCTTCAGGCTATTTCCCTTCTCTGTTATTTTCAATATTATCTATAATAAGTAAATTTTACCACTGCAAATGGAAAAATATCCAAAGATATTCTTAAAAACCTATTATTTGCTAGCAGTGACACTGTTTTTGGCTAAGCTAGAATAGAGTCCTCCCAACAGGCAGACACGGGATCTCAGAGGTAAACAGGGACAGACTTCACATTCTCAAGCCATAGACTGGGACAAGAAACCTGCAAATCACCTGATACTTCAATAAAGCTATGAACATTAAGAGCATATTTAGGTGTTATGTAAACATTTTAGTTCACATTTATTCAGAAAATCATCTCAAAGTTTTAAATCAATTTGTGTTTGGACATAAAATCCCTATGTAAAAAACAAAACACTTCTTTATGCAGTCAACACAACCTGAACGTACAGGGCAACATATTCACTTTTAATGATACACACTGACCACACCCAGCAGGTATGCCAGATGCGGGACCAGACAGACCTCACGGCTCTAAAGTGGGGGTATGGAAAAGTGCATAATATAATTATTTTTTCTTCCTATTTCAAGGGTTTCTTTTTCAGTAATATCACCTACAACAAGATTAAGACATAAGAAAACAAAGATCTCTCAGGCTTATTATCTGTTTAATCCCACCAGACTCCTAGTTAATCTAACTATACCAGAAGTGAAATTCCTGCATGACTGAAACATGGCAGCCACTTTACGATAGAAGATATATATGTGCATTTATAAACACATTTTCTTCTTCATGCTTGTGCCAATATTCAAAAAATATGTCAATTTCATACTTCTGAAAAATTAAAATCCTAAACAATGTGTAATGCTCCTCTTCTGTAATGATACATTATGAAGTGCATAATTATGGAAATAAAATACAAATGCAGATGAAAGTTTACTAATCTCTCCTGAGAAGTACCAAAATAGTATAGGGCTGTGATCCATGCTTTTTGCAGTTTTAGTCTTAGATTAAGAATACATTAAATAGCATATATCACTTCCAAAAGATCACTACAAATTCCAAAAGCCCTGGAAGACCATCTGATGGGTAGGGCATCAATAGAAATGAAGAAAGAAGGAAAGTCTTCAGTAAGAAGGACCAATACGAACAAGAGTGTTTACAGGATAGCAAAGGAAGGAACCTCACTAGAGACAAGGTAATATGTACATAAGCCACAGAAATCAAGACTGAGAAGAATAATGATAAATTATTTTAAAGGCTGAAAAGTCAAAAAATATTAGAATATGCAGCGCAGCATACCAAGATTTGTTCAATATTAAATTCATACACTCTAGAAGAGACTTGTGCAACAATTAAATTTTTCAAATAATGCTGCAGAGGCTAAGTGTGATGATGACTGGATTAAGACAGGAAATATCTGAGGAGAAGGGGAA